ATTTACGCCCTAGTTGCATAACTTGAGATTCAAACTTTAATTAAATTGGATTTCAACTCCAATTTCTATCCATGTTATCTACCTCAAAATCAAACATCAATTGAAATCGATTTTTATTCAAATTTCATCCTACTTGCATACCATCTAATTTCAAAATTTAACCATGAATGACATTGAAAATTTCGAATTAAGCTCAGTTTGATAGTTTTAAAAATTTGTTTTTAACCATGAATGGCCTCAACTTGCCTTGCACCACTATACTAGTTAGGTTGTGACATGAGTATTGATATTTAAATTAAATAAATTTATAGTTTTACTACTTGGATGTATTAAGGGTGTTTCAGAATTTTGTTAACAAGCTTAATTAAGGTATTGTTTAGTCTAGAAATAATAAGAGCGTTATGTTTTTTTATTTTTGCATGTCAGGAGGTGATGTGAAAAATGACATATTGATATGATATAATTTGAAAATTTTCTAATGATATAAAATAAGCCACTTGACAATACCAATTTAGTGACATAAACTAAATTATTTTTAGTGATATAATTAATTTAGTTACTAAAAATATGAAAGTTTTAGTGGCGACTTGACAATCATCACTAAAAATATAAAAGTTTTAATATCAACACCAATGTTGTTATTAAAACTATGAAAGTTCTAGTGATGACATCAAAATTGCTACTAAAGCCATTAGTGTTTTAGTGACGACATCAAATTTATCACCAAAACCTTGAAACTTTCAGAGACGACTAATTTCATTACTAAAAGTAATTGTTTATCATTTTGAGTGACGACAATAAAATTCATTACTATTTATCCAATTTTTCACACTTTCAATGACGAAGTTACAATGACGAGCAATTATTTATCACTAAAAGTTAACTTTTTGTGACAAAAAGTATTGTCGTCACTCATCCGAGATCATTAGTGACAAATTCACATGTCATCGCTAAAATAGTACCATTAATGACAAAAATAACTTGGTCACTAAAAAATTTGTCACTAATGCCCATATAGCCAAGCACCTTTTAGAGGATTTTGGGAAGGGCTTCATAATTTGTGGGTTCCCTTAATATGCATGAGAGAATATAGAGTAAGCACATCCCCTCTATTTTTCTCTTTTACGTGAAGGTTGTCCATCATCATTTTAACCAGCAAGTCTAATATTTTGTACCATTTTCTCCAGTCCAAGTAAGATGTTCATGTTCGTGTTATGAAATAGTAGTCATGTATTTGGAAAAATGCTTCTAGCTAGCTTGACAAAGTTTGTCTTGATTCTAGGTGGACAAATGCACTCTTAACTCACAGATCAAGTGTTGAATCACAAATCATGTTAGTTCAAACTCATGGCTAATACAAAACTTGAATTTACTATATGTAATAGATGAGAGATTAGCTTAAGTGTGTAGCTAAGAACCAACATTTATACATGTTTCACCACATATCACTTATTCTTCGTTATGTAGTTGTGATCAATATTATTAATTTTTTTTTGCAAAACTAAACCTACTTAATTAAAAATGAGAAGGTCCCAATACAATTAAAAAATCCATTTAGTTTATCGATTTTGTTAGTTGTGTAAAGTTTTAATTCACAATTTGACTTCTTCTTTGATGGTAATTTTCTCATGTGTAAGATTGTTCATGTTTCAAAAAAGAAGGAATGGAGAAGGGGAAGGGAGTACAAGTGGGATTGTTGGTTTGATTGCTTTAAGGAGTGTGGAAATACAAAGGGTTATACAAACAAATTTAATTGCATTGGAAATATATATACATTGCTATAGATAGTTTGCATTGAATTTTGACAAGTCATCTTTTTTCCAAATAATGAACTGCTTTAGTGTTTAAAAAATTTCTTAACTTTCTCCAACACTAGATATGGACAATTTTAGGACTCATCCCTTATTTTTATTTATTCATAGACACTAAATTTGGCAATCACTTACTCTAGGTAAAACAGATATTGGGACCTCAAATTTCTAAACGAGAAAAATGCAAGAACAAGTGGAACAAATTTCTTGACAACTTTAAACTTTAGTAGATACAAAGTTAGGATGGACAACAGTAAATGTTTCCAAATGTTTGTTGAGTTTGGTTAGTCTTGAATTTCTAATACTAATATAAGAATGTTTTTGATATTTAACAGGCCTATACACAATAAAAACAAACATCTACAAATATAAATCATAAAAAGATAAATAGAGAAAGGAAAGATATAACTCAAAATGATCTANACTAAATGTTTCCAAATGTTTGTTGAGTTTGGTTAGTCTTGAATTTCTAATACTAATATAAGAATGTTTTTGATATTTAAAAGGCCTATACACAATAAAAACAAACATCTACAAATATAAATCATAAAAAGATAAATAGAGAAAGGAAAGATATAACTCAAAATGATCTACATGCAATGCAACAACTAAATGAAACAATTTTGATTTTTAAAATTTACCCCTAAACAATTATTTAATGGCATTCCAAGTAAATTTTTGTTTTCCTTTTTTATCCTCAAAAAATAGTAGTTTTTTTTAACTAGACAAAACAAATAGTAGTTGACTAGCATTCTTTGTATCTCTTTGATTCCATTAGTCTTGGCCCTGTAACTATGGCAACTAATCGATCATCGAATTACTTTTAATCTCTATTTAAACTCTATTTAATTTGCCTTGAATTTATACTATTACTAATTAGAACGGAAAGGTTACAAAAACCATATGGTTCATTGTTTCACACATTTCTTGAAAAGTTGGATTTGATGACTTTTGGTTGCACTTCCTTGGTCAAAATTTCGAGAAGGATAATAAAAAAAATAAAAACTCGTTCTATGGGTTTTAACTAATTTGTTGGTTGTCTAAAGGCTCATCATCTATGTTTCAACCATTCAAGTTGCTAAGAAACTTGGGCTGCATTTTATGGTGCAAACTTTTTTTTTTTTGGTTTTATTCATTTTTTCTTTTAGATTAGTCTATGATGTTGTTTTGCACAACGTGTGTTTGCCTCACATAAAATTTCACTTTCGGCGAGCCAAAAATCTTTTGTAGATGATCTTAATGATTCTTTGACAAAACAAAAATGTTTCACAAATTTTTGTTTAGAAACATATAATTAATTCCCTTTTCATGTGGAATGATAGAGTAAGTAGACTTTAAAGATATAATATGTTTTACATTATGGATCCCATGAAATTATACAACCTATCTTGACCATCACTTCTATATCAGGCTTTATGTTAAAAGTACATTACTCTCTCCGTATCCTTTATTATTATTTGATTTCTCTCTCCTATTGTGCTCAAGTTATGGTTTCATGCAATGTATAATATAGGGGATGTGGATTTCATGTAGATATTAGTTTTATTTCATTTTTGTGTGAGTTTTTGTTAAATGGCATGTCATTGTCTAATTGAAGTGGCGATTAGTTGTTTTGTTTTAAACTTTGGAGGCAGCAAAATGGGTTTTTTGATGTCATTTATTGTTATAATATTGTTGTCCGAATAGTGTTTCGGAATAAATATAAATGTTTTTTTTTTATTATCAACTCTTGGGTTTGCTAAGAGCTTATTTTTAACAAGTCCCCATAAAGATTTGCAGTTAATTTAAGNCAGAATAAATATAAATATTTTTTTTTATTATCAACTCTTGGGTTTGCTAAGAGCTTATTTTTAACAAGTCCCCATAAAGATTTGCAGTTAATTTAAGCCATAAATAGTTTTTAACTTAAATATTTCATTGGTGATTTTAAACAACACTAATGTTATTAGGACATAATTTGGAGACTTGCCTACTCATAAAATTTAGAANCGGAATAAATATAAATGTTTTTTTTTTATTATCAACTCTTGGGTTTGCTAAGAGCTTATTTTTAACAAGTCCCCATAAAGATTTGCAGTTAATTTAAGCCATAAATAGTTTTTAACTTAAATATTTCATTGGTGATTTTAAACAACACTAATGTTATTAGGACATAATTTGGAGACTTGCCTACTCATAAAATTTAGAATGTTAACTTAGTCATGAGGAGTCAAATTTTTTTTGGTATATCTATATCCTGGTGAATGAGTCTGAGATAATAATAATAACTATTTTTTCAAAAGATTGAAAATTGAAACACTCATATAGTCCAATTAACAATATTGATAAAAAATTATAACACAACATAATTCATGTGCAACGCACATGTGTATCAACTAGTAAATATAAATAGATTAGCGATATTCCATGACTAAAGTCACTGTACATTGAATTATGATACTATGCATGCATTAGAATATATATGTTGGAGTGTGTGTATGTGTAACTGCGTGTTGTGAAATGTGTGTTGAATTTTGGAAATTTAGNACGAGGAGTCAAATTTTTTTTGGTATATCTATATCCTGGTGAATGAGTCTGAGATAATAAGAATAACTATTCTTTCAAAAGATTGAAAATTGAAACACTCATATAGTCCAATTAACAATATTAATAAAAAATTATAACACAATATAATTCATGTGCAACGCACATGTGTATCAACTAGTAGATATAAATAGACTAGCGATATCCCATGACTAAAATCACTGTATATTAAATTATGATACTATGCATGCATTAGAATATATGTGTTGGAGTGTGTGTGTATGTGTAACTGCGTGTTGTGAAATGTGTGTTGAATTTTGGAAATTTAGAGGGAAAGTGATTTGGGTGAGTGAAATTTAAGGGAAAATATATACCGCATAAGTTCAAAAACCTATATAATTTATTATATAGATAAATAGATTTGTAAGAGTCTCAGTGATATTAGTTGGATTGACCTATATAATTTATTATATAGATAAATAGATTTGTAAGAGTCTCAGTGATATTAATTGGATTGACATTTTTAAGCCAAATTTTCAAAAACTACCTGAATTTAAAAATTAATTTCAAAATCACCCCATTATTAAAATATTTTTACCAAGCCACCTGAGTTTGATAAAAAGCACCAACAGATACAACACAGGTCCACCAGCGCATCCATTACATCTCATTTGATCTACTTCGGTGACCCCTCCCTCCCTTTGTCAAAGGGGTCGCCTTCGTCTACCTCTGTCTCTCTCCAAATTAAAGAATTATACAGAAAAAAAAAGGCCCAAAAACCTGTGGAAGATGTCGACGGAGATGGCACAGACCGATCCAGAGGGCATTGACGGAGTCCGAATGACATGGAACGCCTGGCCACGCACCAAAGTCGAGGCCAGCAAGTGCGTTATACCCATCGCCGCATCGATCTCTCCGATCCGCCCTCACCCCGACATACCCACTCTTCGCTATCCCCCTCTCCGATGCAAAACCTGCTCTTCAATTCTCAATCCTTTCTGTCGTGTCGATTTCACAGCCCACATATGGATCTGCCCCTTCTGCTTCCAACGCAACCACTTCCCTCCCTCATACTCCCAAATCTCCGAAACCAACGTCCCCGCTGAACTCTACCTACAATTCTCGACAATACAATACCAAATTGACGCCCATACTCAACCCCAATTGGGTTCAGCTTCGCCTGTCTTTGTGTTCGTTCTTGATACTTGTATGCTCGAGGAGGAACTGGGTTTTGCGAAATCGGCCTTGATAAGGGCAATTGGGTTGTTGCCAGACCATGCGATGGTGGGTCTTGTGTCGTTTGGGACTCAGGTTCAGGTTCATGAACTGGGTTTCTCGGATATGTCTAAGGTTTATGTGTTTCGGGGGTCAAAAGAATTGTCGAAGGATCAGGTTTTGGATCAGTTGGGGCTTGGAAATGTCGCCGGACGGAGGACTGGTGCCGCGCAGGGTTTTCAGAAGGGGGCACAAGCTGGAGTTCCTAATCCGGGGGTTTCCAGGTTCTTGTTGCCAGCTTCAGAGTGTGAATATACTCTCGTTTCGGTGGGTTGCAAGAAGATTTTCTTGTCTTTGAGTTCAATTTTTGACTAGTGGTTTGAGAATTTAATTTGGGTTTTGTGAATTTTTAGTTACTGGATGAGTTGTGTACGGATCAATGGCCAGTTCCACCTGGTAATAGGGCATTGAGGTGTACTGGAGTGGCATTGAGTGTGGCTGCGGGATTGGTTGGCGCTTGTTTACCTGGTACGGGTGCTAGAATTATAGCTATGGTGGGCGGTCCGTGCACAGAAGGGCCAGGCGTGGTATGGCATTTTATTGGTTGACATATTATTGTTTAAAAAAAGCTTGTTAGAAATCAACAAATAGTTCAATCTGTTTTGGTGCTCTTTGTTTACCAATTGTGAGTGCTTTAGCTGATACTGTCTTTGGTCACTGACCTGAATCTTGCTGATGAAGTTCGGATTTCCAATACCTGTACATCAAGGGTTTTTACATGTAAACTATATCCACACTTTTGATAAAACAATAATTCTGGCTGATTGGAGAATGGGGTTTAGTTGCATATAATTGTCACACAATACCCATACTAATAACAAACATGTGATAGATTCTTCACAAACTATTGAAAAATTTATTATTCAGAAATGCAAAACATTTCAGAGGCCATTTCCACCCCAATTAGTAGGATGAAATTGGATAATGACCCCTAATGCAAAAATTTGGTAGAAATTAGTAATTATGTGCTGTTATGATAACCATTGTTATTCGAGTATTAAAATTCTTGTAGATGATGATCTCTGTATTTCGATTACTTGCCCATAAGGAGGAAGGGAGATCACAAAAAATTTATGAAATTGATGTTGTAGTTTGATGGGAAGAGTTTCATCTTGTAAGATTTTCTCTATTTCCTTTTTTCAATAACATAGCTAGTAATTGCTAAATGGAGACTACACAAAACATTCTTCATCATTTGCATATACTAATNTCCTTGCCAATAAGGAGGAAGGGAGATCACAAAAAATTTATGAAATTGATGTTGTTGTAGTTTGATGGGAAGAGTTTCATCTTGTAAGATTTTCTCTATTTCCTTTTTTCAATATCATAGCTAGTAATTGCTAAATGGAGACTACACAAAACATTCTTCATCATTTGCATANTACTTGCCCATAAGGAGGAAGGGAGATCACAAAAAATTTATGAAATTGATGTTGTAGTTTGATGGGAAGAGTTTCATCTTGTAAGATTTTCTCTATTTCCTTTTTTCAATAACATAGCTAGTAATTGCTAAATGGAGACTACACAAAACATTCTTCATCATTTGCATATACTAATGGTGAATATGTTTGTTGCGAGTGGACCATTTTGAGTATCAAATATTGTATATTATTGATATTATGAACGTGAAATATTTCATTATGCAGACCTTCATGAAACAATTGGTCTTCTACCTTATATACCCTTATGCTCAATAACTTTATAGTGATGTACATCTTGTTTTAGGCAATCTGTTGGCATCATCCATTGCCTAGGTCTATTATCAAGCATCATGATATTAGGTGGCTGAGCTCAGCGGGGATACGATAGTTAAAACTATTTTTGGGAATTTTTGAAGCCCAAAAGATTACATGGAATTGAATGGTAAAAAGGCATAGTCGGCATGTGCCCCATAGTCAAACTGGGGTAGAGTTAGCATTTTTTCATAGTGGGGGTAACCTAAAACTCATTACTAAGTCAAAAGTATATGCTAAAATTATTTTCACAAAAATATTTTTTTGTTAAGTACATTTTTCTTTTAAAAAAAAGAGAAATTGGAGGTGCAACCCATATAGGTGAGTGTCAAACAAGGTCATATGTTACCATCTTGAGACATTTATCCATGAATGATTTGTTTAGTTAGACTCAAACTCAATACATTATCATTGAGTTTGTAACATATAACTTATAAGGATTAACCAAAATAAATAGAACAATTTTTTTAGAAATAATTTATCCCATAAATAATTCAAACCATTTAGAAAAATTACAATTACCGCGAGTTATTAAACTGAACCCAAATATATAAGTGTTATAAGCAAGTTGTTCATGTCCGTTAGATAGAGCATCCAAACCAAAATCAATTGGTAATGTGCTATTTTAGCGCGATGGAAAGCTACATGTGATTTATAAACTTTTTATGTAATTTTTCCTTTTTGTTTAGTTTCTCTATGTTGGATTCCTTATCCAAGTTGTTTATGTTCTTTTGAAATTTTAAGTTATACAATATTCTGTTCCCTATCAGAAAAAAAGAAAAAGAAAAAAAATCTAATTTTGGGTTTGCTTAATTTTTCAATGTGGGATAGCACGCTTCACACCCTAGCTTACTTTTTTGCCAGCATTAGGCTAACAAACAGACAAATAAAATGGAACTGAACCGAATTAGATAGATAAATTGACCGAGAAATAAAATTTGGTGGGAGACTTTGCCAACCAACCACCCATTGCCCAACCATGATATCATGATAGAATGTTAGAGCATCGAACCCAAAAAAGNTATTCCCTATCAGAAAAAAAGAAAAAGAAAAAAATCTAATTTTGGGTTTGCTTAATTTTTCAATGTGGGATAGCACGCTTCACACCCTACCTTACTTTTTTGCCAGCATTAGGCTAACAAACCGACAAATAAACTGGAACTGAACCGAATTAGATAGATAAATTGACCGAGAATTAAAATTTGGTGGGAGACTTCGCCAACCAACCGCCCATTGCCCAACCATGATATCATGATAGAATGTTAGAGCATCGAACCCAAAAAAGTTGGGAATGGTTTGAAGTGGCCTTCACGTATATGAACCAACTTTGGAGTCTACTTAATTTTTTGATGTGGGATAGCTTTCTTCAAAAAGTGCAATCAATGATGCAATTTAACCTATGACAAACAAGTTTCAAGTATAAGAAATCAAGTAAATAAATGAATTTTAGAAACAAACTCCATTTTGCATAAAACATGCAAACTTGAATTTCAATTAACCGGTCAAAATAATTTGTCCGTTATAAGAAAATTTAGAATTTATTTATAGAAATCTAATTTCAAATGAAGTCAATCACAACAAGGGGCAAAGCTAGGATTTTATGTTGAGGGGGCCAAATCTATCTACACAATCTCACACCATCAGAGTGACCTATATTTATATTTTGTTCATAAAAATTTGCAATGTATAAAACAAATTTTGTGGTGGGCCATTATTATAGGTTTTCAAAAGTATAGGCGAGCCATGGCTCACCTTGGTCTGGTCTTAGTTTCGTCACTAATCACAAGTCGCAACCAGAACAAATTGGGAAAATTCAGGTCTTTCGTATGTTGTGTGTATGTCTTCTCCTCTCCTTTGAGTTTTTGGTATATTTATATATCCTAATTTGTAATGCTTACAATCAATTGACACTTCAATCTTAGAAATTGAGAGTTTGAATCCCAAATTTGAAAGTGAGCACAGATTGCTGGAGTTCAGTTCTATGGCAATTATCAAAATCCATCACGAGTCACGAACAAATGGTGAGTGACGACTAACGGTCTTCGAGTCTTCAACCAAATTGTAAGCCTTAGGCTCATTAGCGTCAGCTGAGAAGAAAGAAGAGACGGAAGGAGGATTGAGTCGGTGACTTAGTGTTGTTTTAGAGGGAAGAGATTGAACTACAAAACAAGAGTCATGGGATTGAGTCGTATGCTAGAATTTTAAGTCTAACTAGTTAATTTATGAAGGAATCCCACTATTCTCAAATATAATACTACCCCTGAAGTTTTTACATATGTTTCAATGGGGCCAAGTTTTCGTAAATTTTAAATTTCTCATACTTTTAAATGAATCCCATAATGTTTAAAAATTGCAGTGGGGCCAATGGGGAGGGCAAGTCTAGCCACTGCCCTTTATTTGACGCTAACGAACTTGTTNAGCTATATTTATATTTTGTTCATAAAAATTTGCAATGTATAAAACGAATTTTGTGGTGGGCCATTATTATAGGTTTTCAAAAGTATAGGCGAGCCATGGCTCACCTTGGTCTGGTCTTAGTTCCGTCACTAATCACAAGTCGCAACCAGAACAAATTGGGAAAATTCAGGTCTTTCGTATGTTGTGTGTATGTCTTCTCCCCTCCTTTGAGTTTTTGGTATATTTATATATCCTAATTTGTAATGCTTACAATCAATTGACACTTCAATCTTAGAAATTGAGAGTTTGAATCCCAAATTTGAAAGTGAGCACAGATTGCTGGAGTTCAGTTCTATGGCAATTATCAAAATCCATCACGAGTCACGAACAAATGGTGAGTGACGACTAACGGTCTTCGAGTCTTCAACCAAATTGTAAGCCTTAGGCTCATTAGCGTCAGCTGAGAAGAAAGAAGAGACGGAAGGAGGATTGAGTCGGTGACTTAGTGTTGTTTTAGAGGGAAGAGATTGAACTACAAAACAAGAGTCATGGGATTGAGTCGTATGCTAGAATTTTAAGTCTAACTAGTTAATTTATGAAGGAATCCCACTATTCTCAAATATAATACTACCCCTGAAGTTTTTACATATGTTTCAATGGGGCCAAGTTTTTGTAAATTTTAAATTTCTCATACTTTTAAATGAATCCCAAAATGTTTAAAAATTGCAGTGGGGCCAATGGGGAGGGCAAGTCTAGCCATTGCCCTTTATTTGACGCTAACGAACTTGTTAGATTGGATGACATGAATGATACGGCAAATCAAACTTCAACGCATGTATATAATAATCAATCAAAGATTGTAGTGCAAAAAATATTTTTTTATCAATATGTGTTTATATATATATATATATATATATAAACATAGTTATCAAATCGTGTATCGGAAGGCGTATCGTAAGATACAAATATTGTATCGTATCGTGTATCGTAAGATACGATGCAATTTTAAATAAATAATAAAAAAATATATATACCTTTGAAAAAAAGTCATACACTCATAAAAAATATAGCATTTCATTAATACTCCACCAACTATTCAAGTTATCAACATAATCCACTACTATTATAATGCAAAGTTCACAACCATAGTTCACTAATTCAAACTTTAAACACCAAAGAGACTTCTAATCCAAATTTCTAACATCCATTTTGAACTCAATCTTCAATTTCAATTGAAAATGCATCATCATCATCATCATTGTGATCGGATGCCAACAAGTCTTCACTTCTCGTTTTTTTTAAAAAAAAATCAGAGCACAAAACGACGTCGTTTTTAAAAAAAAAAAAAAAAAAAAAAAAAAAATTACACGTATCGTGCGTATCGTACCGATACGTATCGTATCGTAAAAACGTATCGTGTATCGGACGATACAACGCAAAAACGATACATAACTACGATCCGTATCGTTTTAGGGCTGTATCGTAACGTATCGCGTATCGTACGATACTAACAACTTTGTATATAAACAGAGAGAGAGAGAGAGAGAGAGAGATGCACGATATGTATATCTTTTTAGTTATTGGAGGGTAGTAGTGTTATCAAGTGGTATTTTAGACCATGAATTAATGTGTCTTTTTGTGTTATTAAAGGTCAATTGCGTCATTATCAAGTGTTATTTTAGACCATGAATTAAAATGTGTCTTTTTGTGTTATTGAAGGTCAATTGTGTTATTAAGTAAAATTTTGAAATAGGAAGACATGTTTATGTTTTTTGATTAAAGATAGTAGTGTTATTAAGGTTAGTTTAGTGAGTCACAAGGTTTTCTAAGATCCATACATTTGTAAGTCATGGGGATATAGATAAGAAAAAGAAATTAAAGACTCTTGACACTGCGTTTGCTCCATGCCCTAATGATTTGGAGTTCAATGAGTTTGATCACTGGACAGATTCTTACAGTTGAATCATTTATAGCTTATTTTT